AGCAGCATGTCCAGCACACTCTGGGCCAAGACAGAGGTTCATCTTTTAAAAAATAAAATTAGAATTGCTAAGTAGTAACCCTGAACTCAGAAACTGAGTTTATTTCTTTACAAAGCGTGATCTACCGCATAATACATAGGGAAGCAGAGATGCTGCTGTTCAGGTTATTTAGCACTGATGATAAATAAATAAATTAATGGAGATATCCCATCTCCTAGAACTGGAAGGGACCTTGAAAGGTCATCGAGTCCAGCCCCCTGCCTTCACTAGCAGGACCAAGTACTGATTTTGCCCCAGATCCCCAAGTGGCCCCCTCAAGGATTGAACTCACAACCCTGGGTTTAGCAGGCCAATGCTCAAACCACTGAGCTATCCCTCCCCCCCCGATGCTTGGGAGGTCCATTCCACCTGTAACTGACTGAACTCTGTTGTACTTGCAGGCACTGTCCAGTCCAGTCCTGGAACTGTCTCTCCCTCAGGATCCCCTGGAGGCTCACAGTATGACAGTGACTCAGATATGGCCTTCAGCGTGAATAGGTCCTCGTCTGCTTCAGAGTCATCACTAGGTAAGGGAGGCCTTTGCGGTGCGCCCCTGCAGCTTGGAAGACATATGGTCATCGTCCTGGTCAGGAAACAAACAACAAAAACCCAGCAGGTTTTCTTGCCTACCTTAGTTAGAATTGTTGCTATCTGCATGGTGTATGGAAATCCAGCATCCAGACATAGGAGCCTGGATTTCCCAAGGCAGCTCATTGGTGTAATATGCATTAGTGCTAACGTGTGACAGCCTAGAGGGTAATAAAGGGATAAGGGCAAGATTCTGAGACCATGTACAAAATAGCAGGAGCATGTGGAACTGGGAGCCAGGAAGTTCTGATCCGAGATCTCCAGTATGTTCTCTGTGGCCCCATAAACCATTTAAATTCTTCTGGTTTTCTCTACTATGTACAGAAATATAACGTCTTGTCCACCTCCCAGGGTGAGGCTCAGTCACTGTGTAGCTAGCACTTTACACCCTGAAAACACTGCACAAAGTGCTATTGTCTTGAGCTCAGGCAGATTCCCAAGAATTTCTCATCTTGTAATATAACTGGCAAATACTTGTGGCTCGAAGTTCAGTGTTGCATTCCCAGCCAGAAATGCCACTATTATAATACGTCTCATCGCTGCATGAGAGTTGACTCTTAGCCAGATTCCATAGGGCCTTCTGAAAGAGCAAGGTGCTGTGCACCAACCCAGATGTACAGTCCTGTGAATGTAATGCTTCGCTCTTAAGGGCAAGGGAAACATGCAGCTGTTTAAAAGTCATGCCAGGCTGTGAATGGACACACACGCGGTGCTTGTAACCAGATGTGTAAACCAGAATCTGACTCATTTGAACACCTAATACAGGGCTCATACAATAGGATTTAAGGATGGAGGTTGAGGGAAATACCTAGGAAAAATGATTAAAGTGGATGTGTGGCTAATAATACAATATAACTATCAAACCCTCTTGTTTGACCCATTCTTGCTATTGAGTAACATTTCTTTTTCTCCCGCCCTCTCCTTTGCAGTGACTGCTCCAAGTTCCCCTCTGAGCCCCCCCGTCTCTCCCGTCTTTCCCCCTCCAGAGGCCTCGAGCAGCCAGAATGGGGAGTGCACTGTCTGCTTCGACAGTGAAGTGGACACTGTGATCTACACCTGTGGACACATGTGCCTGTGCAACACCTGTGGTCTTAAGCTGAAGAAGCAACTCAATGCCTGCTGCCCAATCTGCCGACGAGTCATCAAAGATGTTATTAAAATATACCGCCCTTGATCTCGCCCTCCCTCGGCGTGGGAGGAAAGAACTCTGCTAGCCGTAACCATGCCTTTCCGTCCCTGCTTATGGGTTATCATGCTGGTCGGTCGTTACCAAGTGGCTCATTGTCTGTGTTTCCATATTTGACTGCTAGAACAAATCAGGGATATAACTGAGCTGAGGAGCTCTCTGGTCTGACTGGGGCCTGAAGGCTTCCAAGTAGGCAGGGCTTCAAAATGATGCTGCTCTATGAAGCCAGCCAGCAAATCGCTGTTGTGGGCCCATTCCAGCTGCAAAAGAGAAATTTATTGTGCAATGGCTTTTTTTGGGGGGCGGGGGGGAGGTATGCTGGTGCAGGGAGGGAGTTTATTAATCTTTAAGGTGTCACCTGGGTCAGGAGTTCCCGCTTTCACACCCAGGGAGTGAAAACTTAAACTGCCCTGGGGATAGTGCTTGTCCAGGCAGCACCATGCGATGGAACAGTCTCAGAATCAGCTCTAGTATCGTAGCTAAAGGTGGAACTGAATGCTTTTTATATCGTAAAAAGAATAAAAATATTAAATTCCAAGTCAGGGACTGAATATAGATGTAGGCTACAAATTACACTTCAGAACAAAGTAGTTTAGAAATCAGATCCTCATTTACTTACCCAAGATCTGAACTCTGTAGTATCAACAGCTGTACCAGAATAATGAGTGCCCTAAGCAGTCTGAGATGTCTATTGTCACTGGCTCTTGCAGTGGGAACACAGAACCCTGAGTTTGTGTATATGGAAAACAGCTTTTGCATTCACCTTCTTAAAGGAATTGGGAGGGAAATGCAGGAAGGAGGACTAAGTGCATATTAGGAGCAAACCATCCAACTTCCTAAGACTCAATATAGCAGTAGATTGGCTGAAGCCAGACCTTGGTACTAGCAAGGGGAGGAACTAATACAATCTATTTTGGATCCTCAAAGCAACAGTAGTAATTTAGTTAATAGGCCTTTTAAGGTATTTACTGGAGTTATTTTCATTGTAGTCTGTTACCACCTGGCCTTCGATCATGAAAGAGAGACAGACACGCAGCTACATTATCTCAGCCTAGAGCAAAGGAAATGAGCAGGTAGCTAGTGCATGCAGCTAACACTGTCTGCACAGGAGGGAGAGAAATCTTTAATATTCTTGTAATTGTAAAATGTTTAATGTAAAATAGATTGCATTGCTCTTCCCCATAAAACAGTATCTTCATGGGTCATCTAACAGCTGCTAAGCACTCAGTCATTTGTGACTTAAGTCCCTTTTAACCCCTTCTTTGCAGCCTGCACCTGAGCATGGTACTTACATCTTTCCCCACTGGTAGTAAAATGTCTTACAGAAACCTCATGGAGCTGAAGTCACTAAATGCAGTGGAGGCTGTAAGCTATTGTACTCCGGCATCTGTGAGCAGTGGCAGCAAGGCTGTACTCTCACCAGAGAGGCTGACAGTGGCAACATTCAGTATTTCGAAGTTCCAGAAAGTTTCCTTTTTGTCCTTAAAGTGTTGTGTAAAAGTACGATTTAATTTGCATTCTCCTCTGCTCAAGGTTTTATCCACAAAGCATGCAACGGGCTAGGCTGTCTCTGCCCTGGCAGGAAATCCTGTTATTTTAGTGAGCAATTCAGATCATCTAATTGAAATTAACAAGCATCCCACTTGGCATTACCTCCTGAAAACAGGATTGAAGGCTATTATTAGATGCTGGGATTTGAAAGGTAAATGGATTTTAGTTTTCATTTTAGACAGCTATAAACTATGGAATTCTGCCTGGGATGTAAAACCCGCTACTACAATGAAGTGAGGTGAGGTAGGTGTAGCTCTACTTACTTCCTGTTGGCTCTGTCTTTTGTACCTCAGAATGGACACATCTGTACGCCCACCGCCACTTTCCCTCAGTCAGCTCATAGAAAAAGCCTGGAGGTGACTTTTTTACTCAGCCCTGTGCTAGTAGCAGCCAAGCTCATGTACACACGGAAGTGATGAGGATGCGGTCATAATGGCCGAGATGGAAATGAGGCATGTCTGATCCCAGCATAGTGATCATTTATAGCCCTGTGTGTAACAGCTGCTTTCTCAGGAGAGGTGCATTTATCAATCTAGAAATGAAAACAGAACAGTCACATGCACCACAGGGCTAGAGTAGCTGAACCATGAGAAGCTATTTGAGGTCGTTTATTTCTTTGGGTCTCTTCCTCTGGTCCTGGGGCCTCTGGCCTCATTTCATTCCATCTCCACTTTGTTGCTCTCAGTCTTCGGCTGTTCTTGACTTGGATGCTTTAACTGTAGCACTTCACAGTTAAGTGGCATCAGCAAACTTGCTTTGATCTGCCCAGCTCGTGCTTTGGAAGCTGGTGGTGGAATAACAGAGCTCAAATGGAGATAGATTATGGTTACCTGTTAGATGATGAGAAATGCTTCAAAAGGATCAAAGTGTCCTCCCTCCCCTTTGGGTTTTTTCCTGATGCGCAGCTGTTGAAGTAGCTAAACGGGGAAGAGGAAAACTGTCTCTTCTTGACGACTATTAAGAGTAGCTGCTGCAGCCTTAGCTCAGATCTCATGCACTGCATTTCTATACTAGCGCCCTGGCTGACCTGATTTGAGATTTCTAGAGAGGATTCATTAGGTGGATGCTGGCTACTTGGGGTCTCACCATGCTGCACAATAAACGTAACAAAACAAACGGCACCCCTTAAACTATCAACCAACTGCAAAACTTCAGGTACAGCTTAAAGACAGGAGCAGGTCTAGACCTGGTGTAAACCATCACAGCTCTGGAGGGACTGAGCTAATGACAACCTACAACAGCTGAAGACCTGCCCCTCCCCTGGGACTTCACATTAAACATTGCAACAGAGGACTGCAATCGCATTGCCTCTTGTAGAGGCGTCCAACATCTTGTATCAGAAGTTGAGCATGGCTTTTCTGTGTTTTACAGCACAAATGAATCCTTGAACCCCACAGTAGGAAGAAAAAAAGTAGGTTTGGCTTTGGATTTAGTAGGTCTAAGTAAGTACTCTACTCTCTCAGTATGCTAATGAGCACTAGTTCAGCAGATGTGAGATAGATAGGTTTCTGGCCGAAGATAAGCCAAAGGCATTAGACTCTACCTTAGGAGCTCTGAATACCATTAGTTGGGGTAGATTCTGAGGTCTCTGGATTCGGAAGATCTCAATGGGAGGTTGCAAGTCACCATTTTGATGCCTTAAGCCCAGTGGTAGAATACCCCCTTCACAGTCCAACAGTTAGGGCCAGGACATTGTCCCTGCAAGCTGCTCTCTCTGATTGTGGATTAGTGGTAGGGAAGAAGATACTTACCAGACCTCGCTGTGTCTGGTTCAGCTGGTCTCCAGTTGCAGAATCCCAGATTCCAAGCCCCGTCACTGCTGTTCCTGAGAAAAGAGAGAAACAGCATGCTGCTTATGCTCAAAGAACACGGGATGGCTGCAAATCAAACTTGATGGAATTTCTTGGGAATCTGCCCTTTCAACAACTAGTTTCAGGGAGGGCCTGATCCCTGTTTAAAAACCACAGCCGAGGGAGAGACAGAGACTTGCATAGATTTGGGCCAGATCTTTAAATGGTGTAAACTGTCATTGCTCCATTAAGTCAATGGCGCTATGACAGTTTACACCAGCTGAAGATCTGGCCCCATTGACTTTAAAAACTGCACATATTCTGTTTGCCGTAGTGTTTTGGCTCAGTATGACGGAACCAAGATGTAGCCTAGAGCCACTAACCCAGCCTCCTCCATTGCGTGTTATAATTTGGCAACATGGTGCAAAACACAACTGAGCCTTCCCTGCTTAGCTGTTCCCGAGTGGCTCTCCCAAACCTATTCCTTAATTCACTCATCACTGTGGCCAGGGCCGGCTCCAGGCACCAGCTTACCAAGCAGGTGCTTGGGGCGGCCACTTCCGAGAGGGGTGGCACATCCAGCTGTTCGGCGGCAATTCGGCGGACGGTCCCTCACTCCTGCTCGGAGCGAAGGACCTCCCACTGAATTGCCGCCGCAAATCGCGATCGCGGCTTGTTTTGTTTTGTTTGGCTGCTTGGGGCGGCCGAAACCCTGGAGCCGGCCCTGCCAGTGGCCATCCTACTGCCTTGGCACCTGCCACCTACAGTGTTTTTGGCATACATCTTTTTCAGATGATGGGTCAATGCAGGGGAGAGAGCTGGGAAGAGCAAATGTTGCACAGGTTTAAATTCCCAGAATAGCAGCTGCAAACCGATTTCCAAAACAGCAGCATCCAGCAGAGACTACGAGGGCTCGTTCATTCAGGGTAATTAAGCTAGTTTAATGTCCACAGTGTGGCTGTGCCGTGGATTGTGAAATGAGCGTTAGTGGACGTGTCTCCCTACCTATTCCAGTTGGTTGAGGATTTTCCAACGGAGATCCAGAGAGGCCTCTAAGATTTCCCAGGAAAAAGGTGTCCTCATAGGAATTTAATTGTTTGTACTTGTATTGCTATATATATTTTTTAGTCTGATATGATTTGTACAGAAGATCTGTTTGTGCCTTATAAGGGTGTCTGTGCACTTTTTATCCTTTTTAAAGCAACTTTAAAAAATCTGAAAAAAATTAACACGAATCAATGGTAATTTTATAGAATTTTGTGTTCACTGAAAATCCTGCTTTTTTGATATTGGAGTGAAAATTGTTTCTATGGATTCCCCCCTCCCACCTCGGTTTAAGAAAAAGCAGTATTTTTATTTTCCCAATTTCTAAGACAGTTAATCTTGTATAGTTACTTTTAAAGCAGATTGTTGGGGGTGGGGGGAAAGGGGCACGGGGGAGGGGTTTGCACTTCTCCATGTCTATATTCTATAGCATAGTGTTCTGTGCTGTGTGTTTTATTTTTGTCTGTTTACCTGTTTTACATTAATATAATTTTACCTGATTATGAAACAAATAAAACACTGTCTTGTACAAGTTCTCCCCGGCTTTTAAGAATGTTTAACTAACCTTTTTTTTTTTTTAAACTGCTGTTTCGTCAAGAGGCGGGGCCACCTACCTCTCCAGCTTATGTAAAGTGGTGCTGCTCCATTGAAGTAAAAAAACCCATACTTATTTACATCAGCTGAGGCTCTTGTCTTCACTATTGTATATACACACACACAAGACCATGGTCCCATGTGTCTCCTGTTTCAGCTGCAGCCACATGGTTCCCATTAAGAGTAAGAACCCGACGCATGCATGCAGAGGTATAATTTGGTCATAAGGCTGTGACCCAAGAGTAGGTACAACAACATTTAAAAATGAAAAGCTAATAATAAATGGCAGGAAGATGCTTCAACCGCAGAGTATCTACAGCTAGACGGTGCATACAGCAGAACTTGCATGGGCCAGATGAAATGAGTAAATAGTTTTCACCTCTGACTTCCGTGGAAGGGTGAAGCAGTTCTTGGCACACCACAGTTACTAAGTGTGGTAGTAACAGCCAGCTAAAGCACTACTAAGCCACCTACCTTCAAGGTGTACAGTAGGCTTGGAGGACAGTTCTGTGTTCTAAGGTGGATCCAGCATACGTCACATAAGGAGAGGCTTCAAGCGTTCACCACGCAGCCCAGCTCAGAAGGGCTGTAGCTCCACTTTTGCTTTCAAGTATATTGGGGAATTCACAGCGCTGGGAAGGAATCTGGCTCTGCTCTGGAACACTGGGAGAGCAGACTGAGTAAAGGAGCTTGTGGTCCATTCCGCCCGCCACCCCCAGCGAGGGCTGCATTTGAATCTAAGATACACATTTACCTAGGGGTCTCACTGGGTGGGTCTATTCACCCAAAAAAGGACAAAGACCTGAACCTTCACTCATTGAAGTCAATGGGAGTTTTGCCATGGACTTCAACAGGAACAAGGGGATGCAAGGGAAGGCTCCCAGCACAGGGGCCTTCCCTACCGGGAGCAGAGCTGGTTCTGTGGGCTCTGCTTCTCCTGCAGTTGTCCCCAGCACCAAGGGCGTCTTGAGGCAGGTAGAAGTGTGGCCAGGGTATTTCCGGTGCTCCAGCTGAAATCCCCAGCTGCCACAAGGCTACAGCAAGTCAGTTACCGGAGCCAGGGCAGCTCCAAGATGGGCAGGAAGATGACACAATCTTTAGAGGCACAGGTATTAATTTAGAGCAGACAAGCCCCAAGACAGCAAAAATGAGAGCCATAGCGCCCATTCCCCCAGCTTCCTGGTCTACTTTCTGCCTCCTTTGCACCAAACACCTCGCCCTCTCGTGCAGTCGTTGCACCTCACTCTCCTCCAGCATGATTGGAACATGGCTATAGCCATACCCAGACCCGCTACTGCCCTTTTATCATCAGTCCTTGGGCATGAGAGAGATGGAGCCTACTGGTCACATCTGCCTCAAGCCATTCTAGATTGGTGTGTGCAACAGAGCCTAGTGCTAGACCCACAACAATATTTAGGTGTCACTGACAACTTCAAAACCAGATCTCAACTGCTGCCTAGCCCTATAGGTGCCTGTTTCCGCTAGTAGGCGGGGCAAAGCCACCTAAGTGCTGACAACCCCTCAGCTCAGCGCCATCATTAAAGCCAAAACCTCAGTGGCATATTTCCCCCCCAAGCAAGTGTCTCAAACTGGGCAGTCCCTGCCTATCTCATAGGCAAGCATGTCTACAGGAGTGGGCCTTGCACGAAAGAGTGGGGGCCCAGCAGGTTGCCAAGTGAGAGGCTTGTGGTTAGGCATCTCACCTGTGATATGGGAGACCCAAGTTCAAATCCCTGCTCCAATGAATAGCTAATTAATTAAACAAAGGGGAACAGGAAAGCCAGACCCATTCCCAGAGTGCCCAACAGCCTTCACTGCACAGTGCACTCTCCTGCTAGGTGGAGACCTTGGGTCAAGAGTTTGCTCCAAATCAGGCAGAGCAGGGATTCAAACCTAGGGCTCTCCCATAGCCCAGCAGAGGGTTTGACCACAAGGCTATTAGGTAGACTGGGACAGGTGCATGCACACCACCCAGCCTGACCCAACCATTCCTGACCTGCTCACCCCACCTGTCTTTTAGGCCTCCTCAGCGCATGCCTCCTGCATCAAGCACTGCTGG